CGGAGTACGCGAAAGCACGTTTTTGCTGGCCTAGCTAGCGGAGGAATTAATCACCTGGAATAAATTTAGAATACTTTAATTGTTCCGGACGGAGGACTTGGTGGAGGAGTCTACGGGGGAAGGGGGTCTGCCCAGGATTCGTGCACAACTTATGCAAGGATGCGCAAGTACGACGAACTTTCGTCCTGGCGCAGTAATGCAAAGAATGCAACGGCCAGCTGGGTTTCTAGAAATGCTAATTGGGGTTATATTGGGATAATGGAAAAGAGAATGGAAACTACTATATAGGGTTTAGGGTATAGGGTTTAGTAATCCTAGTAACTAGATAATACTAACAAGTTCTGACTACAGTCCCCCTTAAGTAGATAGAATATGGTTTTGGGTATATTATAATAAGATCCCCATATACCCCATATTCTATCTACTTAAGGGGGGCTGTAACCCTCTCAAGTCTCAGCTTCCGGCGCTGTCGGCTTGACTGATTCCAGGACTAGCAGATTGCCCTCGACTCTCCAGCCAGCAGCGTTTGGCCTGCTCCCATCATTTGATAGTTTCCCAAAATAGGGTTATATAGGGTATAATGGAGAATCAAATGGAAAAGAAAATGGAAAATGAAATGGAAACTGGGATTATATAGGGGATTATAGGGATTAGGGTTTCCTAAAATTAGGAGTACCTTTTTGGGGGTCCCCATAATCAGGATTATAGTATATTGGGGTCTATATTGGGGTCCCCCTATTTTGGGAAACTACCATTTTCATAACACAAAGCACGAAGGCACAGCAGCACTCGCTTCTGAAGCTGTGCGGCGGCTTGTCCATCTGAAGACTGAGTGCTGCACATTGCCCGAAGCAGGCTACCTGTGAGTGCAGTGCAGTCATACAGTCTTGAGGAGAAGCATGCAACCTTTTGGGCAGTTGCCAGGCCACCACAGATGCAGCCTCACTAGCAGTGATCCCCCACTTGCAATGCGTACTTTGGTGTAGTTGAGTGGTACTCATGTGTCAGTGCTATCTCCACACGTTCCCTTGAACATTGACATCAAAAGCCCAAGTAAGCCACTGACTTTCACTACAGTGTCCACAGTCTGCAAAGCCCGCATATCTGCAATCATCCAGAAACACCTCCTTACTGGTGGTTAGTAGGGAACGCGGGAATATAAATTCGATATAATCCCTACACAACCCTATATTACCCGCATAGACCTGATAGAGCCCTATAGATTCAATTATTCCCTACTAAGCGCCAGTAAGTATGATGTCCTAATATAATCCCCAATATACGTTAGTAGTTTCCATTTTCAATTTTCTTTTCCATTATTCCCTAGACACTGAACCCCAATCCCTAAACCCTACACCCTAAACCCCAAAACCCTAAGCCCGAAACCCCAAACCCCGAACTCCAAACCCTAAACCCCAAACCCTACACCCTTTTTGCAGTGGGTCTCAAGTACCAGCCCAACTTGCCCGCCCGAGCGCCTGCACCCTAAACCCTAAATTCTAAACCTTGGGTACTGCCCCCACTCAGTAACAGTTGGAAAATAGTCATAACATGGTTATATATAGCCCTTAATAGGACCCCTAATATAGACTGTTACTGGGTGGGGCAGTACCCAACCTAAACCCCTAAACCCTGAATCCTAAACCCCTAAACCCTAAATCCTAAACCCCTAAACCCTAAACCCGCAGAGGACCCGGCTCTGCAATTCTTCCTTGTAAGCGCACTTCCCATCAACGTGTAATTTCATCTCCAGCCTCGACTTGCCCACATCAACTAGGGTTTAGGGTTTAGGGGTTGAGGGTTTCGGGGTTGAGGGTTTAGGGGTTTAGGGTTTAGGCATCAACTCTATTGGGATTATATTGGGGTTATATTAGGGTTATACATTAGGGTTATATTGGGGTTATATTAGGGTTATATGAAGCTTATGTTGGGTTTATATGAGGGATATATTTACTTACCAGGGTTTAGGATTGAGGTATTGGGGTTCAGGGTTGAGGGTTTGGGGTTTTAAGGTTTGAGGTTTAGGGCTTTAAGGTTTGGGGTTTAGGGTTTGGGGTCTAGTCTAGGTAGGGTCTGGGGGGTTCGTAGGGATGGAGGAAGACGTTGACATATATATATATATGTATATGTAGGGTTTAGAGTTAGTAGGGAATAAGAGCATATTGGGTTGAGGGATTATCTTGATATTATATTCTCTTATGCCCAAACAGCCGCCAGTAAGTACAATATTCTAATATCATGTTGTTCCGTGATTCTAATATTCCATTCTTACATTACTCTTGTATTATATTACTATAATGCTGCACTACTACACTGCTATATAAGTGTACTTAGTATACTGCTATATAACGAACCCTAAACCCTAGACCCTGCAAAATGGCAGGCGTCAGAGACTCCAACTTCTTGAAGGCGTAGCCTTTGCTCTGCCCAGACCTACGGGTTGGCGAGGACTGTGTGGGGTGGCATAAGGATAAAAATGGGCTTTATACAGGGTTGTGTAGGAGCTGTATAGGGATTATATAAGAATTATATAAGGAATTATGGACAAGAAGGAAACTAAATAGGTCTGCTTTCTGTGATAGCGTGCCCCAGGCTTCAGCTTTATGCCAACAGCTGCAACATGGTCAATGAGTGTCGCGCTCGTAAATGTATCTTCCCGGCTGAAGTGGACATATGGTGACGGTTTTCACCATTGATTCGTCACGCCTCACAAAACTTGCGATCGCTCGGGATTGAAAGCAAGGTGAACATGCAATGGCTTCCAATAAGGCTGCTGAAGCCCTTGCTTGAACTGCAGCACTGACAACAAAGTTTGAACGTTGACATAGGTGCCTGACATGTTGCCCTGTCGTCTCATGTAATGCTAACCCGAAAACTGTGCACCGGGCGCAAGCGCTGCTTGACCATGGAGCCTGGAGTCAATGCGTCAGCTTATCGAGCAAATAATTTCCTGTTACATTCGGCCGTCTATTTACCGCAGCCGACTGCCTCCGCATGCCCAGCATCAAGCCGTCCCGACCCTCGCCCAGCCTTGGCAACATCTGACGTTTTGCTCAGAAAGCTGCAGTGGCATCGACTTCTTTTTGCATGCCCCCGACTTGATCCTGAAAGGCCCTACGTTGCCGGTTGCATTGAATTCCTGCCGCTGAAGCACGGCCATGATTGAATTGAGCTATGCGCTCACAGCGGCCATCTTGCCACTGTCGCAGCGAATTTTGCTTGCAGGATGCTGAGTTCAGCAATGCCGCTTCCTGTACAATTTGAGCGGGCAAATCTGGCAAAGGAGGCAGATCTACTCACTGGCTCCGTGAGACCGCGCATGCTCGATGCCTACGAGTTTGTCAGCGTGGGACTTCCTGTCGCTGCGCCACAGACTTGCACCAGCCACAGGTGGACGGACACAGCAGAGCATCAAAAACTATCCTGGTGAAGGCTGCCGCTTGTCAAGGCCCGCTGCAGGGCACGGTACTCACCTTAAACGCTCCAAGTTTCCGCACTGCATGACCCTTGGCCCTGCCCTACTAGTGCAAGAACAGGACAGCCCGCTGCAAAGCGCACCATCAGGGAACCGAACGCTTGCTGCTGCAGCTGAAAAACAAATGGACTGGTTGAGCACGGATGCACGAGCATCCAAAGCCGCCCGCGCCCTGTTGCAGGCGCATCCAAGGTCATTGCTGTAAATTGCGGCTTTCAATCAGAAGTAAGTTTTGGTTTCCAATCACTTCAACAAATCTGCAAGCGACAGTCCAGCCGGGGAGTAGGTATTGTTTTGCAGCACTAGTCCGTGCGATGACTTTCCCTGGCGATCTCTCCTTCATGCTTTGGCTGGACGTCGTTTGGCATAATTAAGAGCAATCAACCCTCACAGTAGCCTCTGAGACTTTGGTGGGTGAGGAGGGAGGAGGGGTGAGGAGGAGAGCAAGTAGAGTAGGAGGGGAATGAGGGTTAAAACCGACAGGCTTCTGCAAAGACCATTTCGGGGGAAGATTCAAGTGGAGAAAATTAGGCAGCAGTCAAGAATGCTCTGGAACATGTTGCAGTAACATGTCTAACTTCCGCGCCATCGTTTGCGCTGCCATTTCTCCACTTAGCAACCTCATTTCTCTGCGGTGGTGCTGCGTCTCTCAACTTGAGGAATCGCATGCAAGTTGGAAAAGTTTGTAAACATGTTTAATCAATTCTCTTTTTAAATTTCAAAACATATCTTTGGACAGTTCAGACAACTAAGGAACATTCTCCTCATGTTTTCTTGGGCAAAACTTTGCCAGGCTCAAACATGTGCGAGAATAATTAATCAGGAGGGGCGGGAAGGACAAACCTCTTCAGGTCGTGAAGCTCGGGCCATTGCCTGGCTGCTGAACATATTCGTGAGCAAGGCACTGAAATTCGAACAGTCCACAGTTGAAGCACAGCCTGTTTCCTTCTTCTGGGTCTTCTTCTGTTCTTGGCCGACTGGGCATCTGGTTGGGGCATTCCGGACGCATGACAATGGTCGTTTAAGGTGGTTTCTGACGGACTTCTTGGGCCTGGCCCGCATACTTGAAGGATGCTGGCTTTGACTTGACTGTGTCCACAACATGCATCGACACGTGCATACCCTCAGAAGCTCGGTCCTCACCAGGTCTTCCGCCTCAGCTTCTCATTGGCCCGCAAAGCACAGCCCAAGGTTTGCACAAACTTGTCAACTTGTCAGCTTGACAGCAGGGCATGCAAAAGCGGACTGGCTGCTTGTCCGTCAGCTGATTGGCTGCGGCGTAGGCTGCGCGCTTCCAGCCGCCATTGGCGTCTCTCCTCACGGAAGCCCCCACACCACATGACGATATGCAGCGTTAGAACAGTTGCGAGTTACTCAGTTATTGGCAGTTCATCCAGTGACCTGCTCCAACTCGGCATGCTGTTTTCGAAGCTCTCGGCGGCGCTTGCGCAAGGCATCGGAGACCTCTGATGTCACCTGAGCGCCTGACGCAGGGTATTGGGTATTTGTGGTTCATCTTAATGGGGGGCATCCTCCATACTGCTTTGGAAGCTTGCCTGACGAGCAGTGTGCACCATGACCACATCGGAGTGTGGACTCAGCGAAATCGCCCTGCCCATTAGAGAGCTGAGTGATCGATACGCTAGATGTTTTTGGTTCCGTCGCAGCAGCTGATGCACCACGTGCGTTGTGAGACGATGCCAATGCTGTGTGGCTGCGTCTGGGCTCTGTGTCAAAATTCCTGAGCTTCAGCTTGACATGAGCCAGCTCTGCCTGCTGGGCCTTGAGCTGGACTTGTGCTTGCTTTGCCTGATCAAACACGGAGCCAAGCTCCGACTGGCACCTTTGCAGCTCATGCTCAAGACGCTGGGTTTCTGTCTCCTTGAACTGCACCTGGCTTTGTAGTCGCAAAACCTCTCGCTGACTTTCTCGCAGAGCGGCCCGCGTAGCAGCGTGGGAGGCCTTCTCTACACTGTACGTGGACAAGCACTCGTCCAGTTGCCGCTCCACTGAGGCACGCTGCTGCTCCAACAGTTCCAGCTGCATACGCATGTTAGTTATGTCCACCCAATTTGCACCGGATCTGGGGCTTGCAGGCAGCTTACCTCCTGTGTCTGCCGCACCTCGCATTTCGTTGGTGATGTCCTTTAGAAGCCTGGCCTCTCTGACTGGCAAATCTGAGAGCTTGCTCCTCTCTGCCGCCTTTGCCGCCTTCCCAGCCAAGCCTAAGCCATTGAGCTCTGCAGCTAAACACGCCATCGATTCTTTCACAGCCAATGCATCGCCCTTGAAGCTTGCTGGGGGGGAGTTTTCATCTTGAGACGCAGGTACATCCAACGGAGACATCACACCCGGCCAGTCTGCAGCTTTGGACAGGAAGTGATCAGGCTCCCCTGTGCTTGCAGTTGTGTCATCTGTCTGAGTGGTTGAGTCCTGAACTGGCTTCTCCTGTGAGTGCTGTGAATGCTGTGTATCCTCCTTAAAATCAGCCTCTTGCTTCCCTGCAGGTGATGGGCTCTCGCCTGTCTGCCCATGCTCGGAAGCTAGGTCCTTGTTTTCAAGCTGCTGGCGTAATCGGCGCAGCTCGCTCATATGGACTACTGTATCTGCGGTGGTGGGTGGCTCCTGCCATAGGGAGCCTCGCGATTTGAAGGCAGGTGGTTGCTGACCCTCTTTGGGTGGCAACTCACGGCTGCTTTGACTCGAGCCATCGTTTTCGACGATGTTGGAGTTCTCTAGCGCTGCTGTCAGAGAGGAAATCTCAAGAGAGTCTCCTTCATGGACGTTGCTCAAGCTATGATTGGAAGAGTCTTCCCTGTGAGCTTTCGGAACTTGGCGAAGTGTCTCGTCACCTTCCTCCAATCGAGACCAAAGACTTATCTGGTCACCAGCCACGTCGGACTCACCGGTGCACAGCTCTGCTGTTAGCACCGCGCTGAGTCGTGGGGTGGGCGGGCTCTTGGCGTCGCCAGGGATTGCCCTCTCTGCTGATTCCTCACTGCTTGATGCACCAGAGGCCCCCTGACTTGGTTCCGGGCTTTGTGCTCTAGGTGAACAAAACGCTGCCACATCAAAACCTTCCAGCCGCGGTTTGGGCCGTGGGGGTCGAAGCTTAGAAGGAGGCTTTGATGGTCGCTCCGGGATCAGCATGTGCCTAATGCTGCATGTGCTTGTGGGCAGGCTGCCATCAATGGCATTGGCTTTGGCTGCGTTGGTTGCTAGTGCTGCCAGGCCATGAGCCTCAAGCTGTGCATTGGAAACCTTTTTCAGAGGAGAAGGAGTCTGCTCACACAGGTCATCAAAGGACCTTTGGGGCGAGGTCTCCTCACAAATGGAGCTCACTGACAAGTCTTTGCCAGGCGTTCCCGGCGCCACCACTTCCGGATCGATCTTTTGCTTGGCCTTCTCCAGCGTGTATAAATGCCGGAGCTCATTATCACATGGATGATCCCACTGGCTTTCACCTGACAGCAAAGAAGCAAAATCAGCAGCTTAAGGCAACACTTTGTCCTCGCGAATGACATTTGAGCCTGTGTCAGGATTGTAGAAGAAGATGTCCCCATTGGCGGCCTGGAAACCAAAACGCCCCAGATGACCCATAGTCTAAAACTCCCAGTATGCCCTTAATAACAAACTATACCAGTCCCTATAGTCCCCTAGATAACCTCCCTTGAAGGAGTTTAGACCGTAAACCCTAACCCGTATGTAACCCCATAGAACACTTCAATACCCTATAACACCCTATAATCCCCTTTAAGGACTTTAGACTCTAGCTCACATGATGGCTGGTGTGATTGCCATGGCAAGCTCAGCAAACTAAGTGACTGACTTCGCAGGGCCGCCACGGCTTGGGCAATGGAGTCTTCAAGCCCTTTCCTGGGTTGCTGTTAAGGAACTTAAATTAAATTACCATAAGGTGTATATATATATATACAGAGCAAATAAAAGGGTTTCCGCCAGTATAGTAACTTAAATTAAGTTCCTTAACAGCAACCTAGTTTCGCGCGATCCAGAGGAGATCCCCGTCTTGTTCGGGGTCCATGCCTAGCCATTGTGCCTGAGATGTTCAGCTGAAAGATGGACAGCGCTTTGGTAGGAGGAGCTTTTGAAAGTCATCCTCCAGTCATGAAGTCATTGTAATAGGAACAGTAATATAGTAATATAGTAATATAGGTAATATAGTCACATAGTAGAATAGTAATATTATGATATAGTAATAGTCACAGTAAGATAAAAAATAGCAATATAGTAACATAGCAATATAATACCTTCCCATGGCTATTGAGCAATTCCAATCTCAAAGGCCAAGTTGCATAATCTCGAAGCTCCTCCGTCAACAGGTTGCAAAGGAACATGATGCTGCGGGAAGGAGTTTCCATTTTCTTTATCATTATCCCTATATAACCCATATATACTATAATCTTATATAAGCCAATATAATCCCTATAAATCCCTATATAACCCTATGTAACCCCTACATAAGTTTTCAAACAGTTTGGCTTCACTGCAGCGGCTCCTCGCTGGTCGGTTCATATGCTTCGTCGACTTGCTCCTGAAGTGCAGGGCATAATATTGAGAGTAACAGTAACAACAATAGTGAGAATAATAGAAAGAATACTAGTAGTAATCATAATAATAGCAAAATGGTAGTAATAGTGATAATAGTAGTGGTACTGATGTAGTAGTAGTAGTAGTAGCAGTAGTAGTAGTAGTAGTAGTCGCAGCAGCAGCAGCAGGAGTAGGCACCCCCCCCCGCCTACCAACTATGTTGGTTGAGACTTCCACTACCAGAGCTTTGGGGGGAGGGGGGAAGGGGGGGGAAGGGGGGCATAACTGAGTCTAAACCGACCTCAGCCAGTCAACTTCCCCCAAACTTACTGCCTTCCTTCAACTGCTCCAACTAAACAAGATCCTGGAGCTTCTCTAGGTTTTTCTGGGAGGCAAGCCAATGTGGATCCATAGGACCGCCATTTTGGCCCGCATTTTCGACTGTACCC